TCGGCCCTGACGACCCTCGAGAGACGTGCACCGGCCATGTCCCGCCAGACCGTGACGACTGTCACTCGGCATGGGGCGGCTGAACAGCACTGGCCTTGCCATCGTTCTCCTGCTGCTGGAGTTGCCTCTGGGATTCGGCTCTGGAGCGACTTTTCCTACGGGGATCCTCGCGCCGGCCCTCGAGGGCCCCGCTTTCCGCCGAGAGACGCAAACACCCGGAGCGAAGCAGCTCATATTGAGCCGCGTTGGTTTTGGCAAGGTCCGATTTCGTCATGCAATCGACCGGAAGTAACGGGTGCGGCATCCAACGAATCACGCTCCCGACCTTTTGCATGATATCCCGAACGACCGCGAGGTCGATCGCGGCCCGACGATCGGATCGAGAACCGTTTGATAGCTTGCTGAGGGTGTCATATATTCCCTTGGCGTCGACTATGCTGACACACTCCGAGGGCGAGTGAGCGATCAGCTGGCAGTCTTCCTTCAAAATGGCCGCAAAGGGGCCGACTTTCCCCTGCCAGGCTTCTGACACCACGTTCCCTCTCACAACATCTTCGAACATGAGACGAAGCCACTGAGCTTCAGCAAGAGCTCCGGAAAGCGCCAGCGTCTCTCCTGCGAGAGTGCTCGCCACCTGGCGCTTGACTCGGCATGATCTCCAGGCTAGGGGGGTGGCCCTCGCACGTTGACCGTGCGCTAGAGCATTGTCTGCTAAATAGACCTGCCATGCTTGTTGTGGGAACATGCAGTCATCCGAGCCGACTCCTCCGCAGTCGCTGGCCGTCGCGAAAATGCAGCGGGAGGGGTCGAACTTGTGAATTATCACGGGCATGCTGGCCGTGGACCTAAGGTGATCCACCATCTTATGTGCCTCGACCAGGTCTCTGACGCATGGTGAGTTCACCTTGGTCGCTAGAATAGACGCACAGCCGGCAGCCTCAGCACGGGATTCCCGTCCAACCCAGTTCAGTTCGTAAACCAGGCTTCGGAACTCCGCCACCTCCGTCCCAACCAGGGGACTGGAGTGATCCCCACGACGCCCCCTTGACAGCGGTATCTTGCGGACCTGCTCGAGAATATATTTTTCCTGGTCCACAAGAATACGCGGTGTGGCGGTACCGTGTCCCACGAGTCGAAGCCTTCGACCGATATACTCAACTCCGGCCTCGTCGAGTTTCTCCATTTTTCCGAACGCGAAACGCTTCTTAAACTCGGTCAAATACTTGTTCTGCTGACCCGGAGGGAAAGCGATAGCCCAGTCGTCAACCTCCAGCAGCACCTGCGCGACTAGGCGACCATTTTCCTTCCGGGAAAACTAGCAGGGCTCCAACTTGGCCCTCGTGAAGCCTTGTCCCTCCAGAAACCTGGCCGACGTCTCATGAAACGCGAGAGGTGCGTCATCGAGCCCATACACAGGAGCAATGAGCTCAATGAGAGCTCCGGCCGGAAGGTTCAAGCCCTCGCAGGGCTCCACAAAAACCCGCCCTCTGGGCCGCTTAAGCGGATCGGACTGACAAAAGGCGTTCTTAATGTCTCCTATATGGACCTCTAAGCCATACATGAGAGATATGGCCAGAAACAGCATGAGAGATTCCATGGATGGCGTAGGGGCATAAACTTGGAGTTCAGCGGTGTCCTCGTCTTGGTGTCCCCTCACGCACCAGCGTGACTTCGCCTTAGGTCGGGCTCCGACGCTGCCTTGGGGTTTCCAGCGGCGGACCATCCGACTCGAGACGACCCGATTGGGAAACAGCTGCCTAAGTTGACGCCCCTCGGCCGGAGCGTGAACTTTCACGGACTTGGTGGCAACGACCCCCTCCCACTCCTGCAAGTCGGAAGAGGCGAATTCCCTTTTTTCTTCGGGCGTGAGGTCTTTGAGACGCACCTCACACCCTCGATTAGCTAACAGTGAGAGAGAAAAACCACCCGATTCTCCGGGCAGAACTTCACAGTTGGCATTGCCGTTGTGATACTGAGCCCAGGTGCCACTCCATCCTTCCTCGTCTAAAGCTCTTTCCACGTCATTGACGTACGACACGAGTTCCTCATCACTCATTTCCAGAAGCGCATCTATCTTCGCGTCATTCATCTCAAGAAAGCCTGAGATGGGGACGTCTTCCATGGCGGATCCCGGGGGCCGCTCGGGGGGAGGGGACCTGGAGCGCCTCGCTGGCCTGGATTCCGGCCGACCTTTCAGCTCTTGGACCTGGGTCCGAACACGCCCCGGTGGGACCCCTCTGAAGTCCTCCCCCCTGGTGACCGAGAAACGCTGACCCTAACGTTTCATGCCCAAGTCTAATATCTCGTTCCGAAGAACCGTTCCATCCATAATCGGCCTTGGCACATTGGGCTCCCCACTGGGTGCGCCATCACCCGGGACTTGTCCGGCGCTACGGCTCTCGTCCATGCGGGAGTCTGCTGCCGGATCAGCGATGACGGACGCCTGCTGAGGCTCGGCCTCCAGCCGTCCTCCTTCTGGAGCCTGTTGGAGTGGGAGAGGCTGAGAGGAAGAGGAGTTGGAGGACTGACCCTGACAGCCCGGGAGGGGGAACCGGCCGCTGAACGTTGCCCCCAGGAGCCCGAGACCTGGCGGGAGGAGGAAGCGGAGCCTGAATGGGTGAGGCTTCCACTTCCACACTGTGTCCTGGTTCCCAGGCCTCACGAGGTGGCGGTCCTTCGGCCGCCACGTTGACCCCCACGCCCGTGCGGCCCACTTGGGCCTCCCGAAGAAGTTTCTGGACCCCAGGGTCAGACATGACTTCAGCGCCCTGACTCTCTGGTGACGTCGCAAGCCTGACTTGCTCGGATGAGCACTTCCACAAGCGACTCCTCATGGCAACCCACACGGCCCCTCCGGACTAAAGAAGCACCAGTCCAGGTCCGACCCAACGGTCACGCTGGAGCGCGTGCGTTTTCTTCCCGGAGGTCGGGGCTCGGCGCCAGACGAAAACCCACTGCCCTGGATAGACCCTAGCGTCTCTGTGGACATTGCCCTTCGAGGCTTCCGCCAGCTTCCGCCTGCTTGAAGAGCGAAAAAGCTCCTGTCGAGCCAGATCCCGGATAGCGTGCTGCCTGGCATAGTCCGCGGCCGCCGTGTCCTGGTCCCATGCCGTCTGAACAAGGTCTCCCTCCCCCACCTGTCTCACGCCATCATCTGACAACATGTCATTGGGGAGGGAGTCTTGGGTTGACCCCATAAACGAGTTGAAAAGGGGTGTAGCCTCCTCTGTGGAGGTAGCGGTTCTTGGCTGCCACGACCTCGTGGAGAAGGGATTATAACTCGGCTCGGGTGGTGATGAGACTGCTCTCGGAGGCCCTGAGCAAAATCTGTTTCACCCACCCTCCGTGGCGCTCAACACGCCCGTTTTCCCAGGGACTCTCGGCGTCTATCACGTGCTGGAATACGCCGAGATGCTCAAGGCCTCTCTCGAAATGGCCCTTGAACTCGGCCCCCCCATCCGAGAGCACCATTTCAGGAGGTCCGAAAGGCCTGATCCAGGCCCTGAGAAAAGCCCTCCACGCCCCCTCCGAGGTCCCGTCGAAAACTCCCACAATATGGAGATTCGTGCCGTGGCAAATGCAATTCAGCACTGGAATCGATTCCTCTTCAAAATTAACGTAGAAAGTATCGACAGCCATCAACCTGTTAAACTGGAAAGTACGTGGCATGGCCACTGAGCGATGCCCGGCGGGCTCAACTTTGGCTTGGCAATCGGCACACTCATACTCGTCTCGGACAAATCGGATGACCTCGGGACGGGCGTGTGCCGCGCGCAGGACCTTAAGAAAGATCTCTTTGCGAGGATGTCCCAGATTCACATGAACTTTGTGAATCAACCGTTTCATGGGCGCGGTTATCTCCACTTCGTGCTCTCCAGAAACCTCCTGGAGAGCGGGCTCCTCGGCCTCACCTTCCGCGTCTTCTCCCTGCTCTGGAAGCTGCTCCGAGGACTCAGCCTGACTGGGGAAAGCCTCGACCCCAACCCGGCACACCCCAAGATCTTCTGAGCAGATTTCCGCCATCTCCTCAATGGTGAGGAGACTCTCTCGTTCCTGAATGCTTCTGAGCACTGCATCGGCGAAGGCCTTGCAGAGCTTAGGGGGGTGCACCTGTGACTTCCTGGTGGTGTGTCCCCCTTCCAGGTGATGATGTTCGTGGCCGCCCCTACACTGCCGTCCTGACAGCTGGCGAAAAAGGGCGGAGTCGTTGGTCATGACACGGGTGGATTTGCGAGAAAGGGTCCCTTCGACCACGGACAGACCGAACTCACACTGGTCTATGACCACCTCCATGACCCCCGGAAGCTTCCTGATCATATCCACAACATGCTTTCGCCAGGACGCGGCCCCATTCGGATGCTCAAAAGCAAAACGTCGACCCTCCTGAACCTGAACAAGCGCAAGCTTCATGCAGAAAGCCAAAAGGTCCAGAGCTTCTCTTTTCTTGCGCTCTTGAACCTCCAGAGGCTCGGGAGAGGTTTTCCGAAAAAGCTCTCGGATCGGACTGAACTCAGCGCACGGGGGCTCCAGGAAAATCATCCACGACTTCTTGGTCCGAACGAGCTCCATAGCCCTGTCCTGATCGTCTTTCTTCCTGAAGTCCCACCCCGTCGCCAGATCGAGACTGCCCAGGGCGCGCAGTCCTGCCTGCTCTAGGAGGGGGGCGACTCGGGGCGGAGAGAAAACTTCAAGAAACGACCTCGACTTGAGATCCGAGGAGACCCTGCAATTAGCCACCAGAGACTGAAGCTGTCTCCTCTCGCTCTTAGTGAGAAACACTTCGTGGTCATCGTTGTTCTGATCCCCGAGGACCGTGCTCGCCCACGAGGGCATAAGAAACTCGAACCCCCGAGACCCGGTCCTGGACAGAGGCCTTGCCCCCATTGACAGAAGCGAATCCAGCACTTGGCGACGCTTGATCTTCCCCGGAGAAACCGAAAAAGTGACCCCCCCGGGATGAGGCAGCTTCTTCGCCCTCAGCTCCTGAGACACGCGCCCGCTCACGTCCAGCGGCCGTTGTGGAAGGTCTTCCACCCGGCCTCCTTCCACTCGTGGTATTCCTGGCGCCGCTTCTCGGCGGCCTTCTCCTCCGGGCCCGGCGCCCACGGGTCTCGGTTCTCCGGCTGGCGTGAGGGAGTACTCTTGCCCTTGTTGTTGCCCTTGCCGTAGGGACCGACTGCTGCCGTTGGCGGGGCTGCCAGGTCCGTGCCCAGGAGTGAAACGCTGGCCTCCGTGGTCAGCGTCCCCGTGGAGCCGATCGGCATCTCGTCCGCAGTGAAGAGACGATCCGGATTGCGGGGAGGAGTCACTGCGTCCTTCTTCTGCTCGACCGGGAGACCGTATGTCGGATAGCCTCCTAGCGCTGGTGACCTCGTCGGCTGTGGCGCCCCCGCGTTGGCTGCCGCCTGCTGGTGCAGCATCGCCTGGGAGGCCATCGCCGCTGGCACGCTCGCCCCGTCGAGCGGTGCTGTCCCAATGTAGGCCCACGCTGTTGGAGCCACCCCTGGCGGCGCCCCCGCTGCGAGAGGTGGTGGGCTCTGAGGCTGTGGCTCGGTCATCTGCTGGCCCAGTGACGAAGGATGCCCCGACGGCACTGGCCGTTGTGGAACCTCCCGAGCCTGCGGTGCCCTGGCCTCCGCCTTGGGGGGAGAGTCGATTGCAGCGGCTGTGACCTTGACCTGGTCCGCCTTGCTGCTCGAGCTGCCCTGCGCCATGGCCCTGATCATTCGGCTGGCCTCCTGCGCCTGTCCCTGGGCGGTCGCGATCGCCGTCATCTGCTCTTTTACGGTGGTCGTGGCCCGCTCGAGCGCCTCCTGCTGCGACGCCTGCGAGGCCATCACCCCCTGGATCATGGCCTTCATCTCCTGAAATTGACTCTCGACCATGCCCTTCATGTCCCTCTCGGTCTTGGCCTGGTACTCGCGCATCTCCTCGAGGGGGTCGGAGGCGGTGTCCATGGCCTCCGTGTCGCTCTCTGGCTTGCGCTTCGTTGAGGACGCCCGGCGAGCTGCTGCTGCTGCGGACCTCTGTTCCGCCTGATCCATCTGCAGCGCCTCGGTGACCTTCGCCGCGTCCTCCGCCACTCGCTGATACGCCGGCTGCCGAACCGTCATGACTGAGCCGCCCGCCAGACCTCCGGCCATCATGCCTGGGTGAAGAGGCAACGGAGCCCTTTCGGCCCCAGGAGGTGGCTTGGGCACGCACATCAAGGCCTGCCACTGTGGCTCGGCGGTCGCGCCCTGAGCCCAACCTTGTCCACGCAGCGTGCACGCGGCGTCCTTCTTCTTGCACAGGCACATCTTCTCCTCTTTCACGGTCCCTTTTGTCGGCCTCAGCTCCCAGTATCCGACCCTCATCGTGCACCCGCTGCATACGAACCACTTCCCCCACGAGTTGGCTCCGTAGTTCACGAGCGTCGGTGGGTGCCAACACGTCTCGTACGCCTCCGAGAGGCGGCGAAGAGACTTGGGCAGGTTGGTCGGCCAGAAGCGCTTGGCGCGGCACATACTTCCGAACTCCTCGGCCAGGCGCGCCGACCAATATAGCACCCACCCGGCCAAACAGGCCCATCCCTTCTCGCCCTTGTTGAGGTTCTCTGGAACGTAGGTCCCGGTGGCCCCGTAGACCCATGCTGAGTCCGTCTGGCTCTGCATGCGGTCCGTCATCGTATGCGGCCGCTCCTGAGCTCCACGACGCCCCCTCTGGCCTGCCACGCGGGTCGTCGAAGCAGCTGGCGGCATCGCGATCTGCTCTCCAATCGGCCTCTGAGTTGTCGAGGCTGTTGTCGAATTGCTGCGAGCTGAATGATTCGAGCCCAAGTGCTGCGAGGAAGGCGTACGAAGTCGAGGCTGGCCTCGTGGCCCACGTCGGCCACCTCCAACCCCGCGCTGTCGACCCTCCCCTGGCTCTGAAACGTCTCGACCTGGAACTCAAAGCCCTGGCGAGTCCCGAAGTGCACGTACTGCTCAGCGCGGAGTCGGAGGTGCCGCCCGACTCCAGACCCCTTAGCGGACCTCTTCTGGAACCTGAGTTGTCCGGCCCAACTAAGGCCCCGGCGTGCGTTCCGACCACATCTGACCTAAGATTCTCCCAGAAAAAGGTCCCGGACCCCCTTGGACGCCGTTCCGTCCCCCTCAGACTCCCCCAGCAGCTTCCGTGGTACAGCCCCCCCAGGCCAGTGCTGACAGAAGACGCGATGATGTACTTCCCCTTGGCTTGAAACGCATCCTTCGGCAGCTGAGGGTGCGACCTAAACACGGAGGCCGGGGCTTTAAAGTCTTTGGCGGGAACTGAAAACTTGTCTACCTGTATGGTGCGGTGGGCCGACGGGAGCCTAGTCAGAGGCGTCGTGACCCCCAACTTCGTAAAGGTCAGAGCTTTGTTCGGAAGATCTACAATCCCACCTAGCATTTCTTGAAATCCTATCGGCAAGAGGGGTGGAACGTCCTGGTCCAGGACATCCAGCTCCAGCACCCCCACGCTACCCTCGATGCCTACAGGGGTCAGAGCGGCGTGGGTGACCTTTACCCCCCACCTACTCCGCGCGCTTGGGTTCCTGGGTGGGACCCTTGGGACGGCGAGCCCCTTTGAGGCCCAGTGCCCCTCGATCTTCTGCAAAACTTGCTCTCCTAAGTACAAGGCCCTGGCCGGCCGCGGTGTCGACCACCATGGCCCCAGGACCTACGGCGAGCAGGACAACTGCGTAGGTTGGAGGAGGAGGCTCGTCGAAGCACTGGGAGGTGGAGTGGTCTAAAGCATTCACATACAGGAAAGTCATACCCGTGGCAGGAGACCCCTTTTCGTCCTTGGCTCCTGCGCCCTGCTTCTGTGGGCACTCTCGAGACCAGTGTCACTTCTGATGACAGACACGGCATCTGGTGCGCTTAATTAATTCAGCAAGCGGAAGGCGGCTCTTCCGCGCTCTGAACGCGCCGCCTGCTGCCCTGTGGCCGGGCCTGCGAACCTTCTCGCGCCCATCACTGCCACGGCCCTGGCCAAACCTATCGTAGAACTTCCGGTCGGTCTTCAGCTATCTCTTCAAGTCGCGGTTCTGCTTCCACGTCTTGCGGCGCTCCTGGTTGATGGCGGCCAGCGCTGCAGGCGCGTCGTCCTCCCCGACGTCGGCCGACTCCAGGATCGCCCAGACCTCTGCTTCCCCGTCTGAGTCCATGGAGGAGACATCCGAGTAGTCAAGCAGGGACTCGTCGTCGCGCTCGACCTGATAGGTTGGCACCTGAGGTGGGGGTGCTTCCGAGCCCATAGTGGCGTAGGTCCTGCGTGCCTTGAGATGCGCTCGATGGGAGATATCCATCTCCCGAATGGCCGAGAGAGCCGACTTGTAGTCCTTCTGGCCCCTCATGAGCACCTTGACCATCTGCGCCGAGCGCTCGTCGAGAGAAACTCCTTCCTCCAGGAACATCAGTTTCCACTCGTCTGGAAGCGGCAGCCCCTGGGTAGCTACCCTGTCGAAGGCCGTGTCCATACGTGCACAGTATTCGGTGAGATTCTCTCCCTGCTTGCGTGAATAATCCAGTAAGCACTCTCGAGCGACCTTCCGTCGCTCGTCGCCGTGTCTTTCACCAGACATCAGGTCAAGGCGTTTGACAATGGCGTCGAAACCCCATGAGCTGCACAGCGTGTCGTCATCGAGGTCCTCGAGCTTCCGTTGAAGGTCTTGATCAAGAGAGCGGAAGAGGCGATCAGCCTGCTTGTGGGAGGGAACGTCCGTCAGTGTTCTCCAGCGCAGCACCGTGCGGCGCCACATGCGGTAGTCCCCCCAGCCTCTCCATTTCTCGGGGTCGGCGAAGTCCTTGCCAGTGTTGATGCTGGGGCGGTCGTCATCATGTCCGGAGTGGCGCTTATTGGGCTCCCACTTGCTGTCCTTGTAGTTGTCGTTCCATCTCCATCCGGATGACCAGTCGCCCCACTGCTCGTCTTTCCAATGCTCGTCCCCGTAGCTCTTCCAGGTCGAAGCCGGAGTCCAGGTGGATCGCGAAGAAGCCCACTGCTGCTCGCCGGGCTTGCAGTCTGGCTCCTGCCAGGTGCTTCTCGTCGCGTCCCAGCCACCTGAATGCCACTGCTCCGACCTGCCCTGGGACGTCTCGGTGGCGGACGCGGCAGCGCCGCCACCGGACCATGTCCCGGCACTCGTCGACTCGTGCTCTGGCGGTGGTGCATGCCAGCCTGACCACGAGCGATCCTCGGCGCTCGACCACGGAGCACTGGAACTCTGCCCGTGATCGCGCCGACGTCCACTGTCGTCGTCGCCCCCATGTGAGTCACGCTGGTGACTCTGGGAACTGGTCGGCACCACGTCCAGTAGTAAAAGACGTGCCAACTTCTCTGCCTCATCTTGGTCGAGGTGGAGACCGTCATGCCTCATCAGTGTATCAGTCACTGCCCGTACTGCAGAATGCTCCCCTCGTTCTTCTTGCTGTGTCTCTCGATTAGCACCTTGCTCCGCTGCTGCCGTCATTGGTCCGCGGACTCAGAGCTGCTCACAGCTCCGCTACCACTGTCGCCCGGCGGACGACAGCAGTGAAGCCAAAGTGTCGTACCTTTTTCCCAGCAAGAGAAACCTCGCACTCTCTCTTCTCAGTACACAGCTCCCAACGCTGTACAAACAAGGCGCGGAACGGTATAGGAAAGGAAGAGGGGTAGGGTGGATATGGTATGAGTGATGAGGAATGAGTGGAAGTTGGGTCTTGAGCCAAAATGGTTACGACCCATGCTCGTGACCTTCAAGCTCAGGGAGTCTAGCAGGGGCATCGGCCTTGAAAACCACCGGCCTCTAGACTCAAATCACACACCGTGACTACTCCCAAGGATCTGACAGAAGCGGCTCATACGCAACGCCCGGCTGGATGGCTGCAGAGCTCCGGCTGACCAAGGGGGAGCTTGAGGAGCTCAAAAACGACAAGAAGACCGAGTGCAGCGCATGGCGGAGGAGACCGTGAGTTTGGCTTTCGGCTTCTCGCGGGACGCTGCTGACTCGAGGCGACAGTCTGTCGGCTCTGCAGTCTCGCGGCGAGCTGCTTTCCCTTTCCTAGACAGGTTCTCCCAAATTCTGCGCCGCAGGGGCACCTACGAGACGAACCGCTCGCGGTCGAGGTCAAGCAGCCAGAGGGACTGGCCAAAGGAACCGCGACCCGAGGACCGACCGCGACGAGCCGCGGAACAGGGAGCGGGCGAAGTCCAGCCGGCGGTCTCGGCGCAGGAGCACCAGCCGGAGGCGTCGGTCGCGCTCGCGGTCGCGCTCTGGAGGCCGCCGAGACGACAAGGGCGAGGCGGCCAGCTTGCTCTGGCAACTGTTCGAGCGCACCACGAGGAGCAAGTACAAGGACGACGCCAAGCCGGCCCCGAGCCGCCCGCCGGCGGCCGACGCCGCGAGCTCAGGAAGCTCACGGCGCCCGCGCCACGGCCCAGCGACAGCGCTGCTACTGCCAGCGGCGGAGGCGGAGCCGCGGAGGCGGCGGCGGCGGCGCAGGAAGCAAAAGGAGCACTTGCAGGCTGCAGCCGCAGAGGTGTGCAAGGCGCTTGGCGTCGAGGTGGACCTCAGTCAGCGCGCTCGAGGACGAGGAGAGCGTCGTCGCGGCGATCCACTCCGAGACCACCATCCTGGCGCTGGACTTGCGATCGCCCACAATCTGGGGAAACAATCACCGAAGACCAACACGAAGACAAAGAAGATTGGTCAGTTGCTCAAGCACTCGCTGGGGGAGTGAGGTGCCTGTCAGCGCGCCCTCTGAGTCACTGCTGCGGCATTTCGCACACAGTTCAACTTGTGAGTAATGACTGCCGTGCTGGCGATCCTCGTTCTCATCGTGAGAGCTACCCTCGGCGGCGAGCAAGGGGGGGAAGTGAGAAGGATAATGCCTTCTCAGAAGGCGGCGGGACTGCTCAGAAGCCCTCGCGCCTTCTGAGAAGTTGTTTGTGTCTTCGGGGACTGCTTAGAAAACTTCTCAGAAGGTGGGGGGACTTCCGAGCCTTCTGAGAAGACCCGCCCCTTCTCACTTCCCCCCCCTCGCTCGCCCCCGATACCCGAGAAAATCGTTTCGTGGTGGTGGTCCTGCCGTTGGCCATCGCTGCAGACAGCCTCGCATGGTGCGTGCGTTTGACTACGAGGTGGAGAAAGGATAGAATCCAACGCATCGCAGGGATCGGCGCCGGAATGCTCATGCTGGCTGTCATACTCCATGCTACAGGGATAGAATCGAGATTGTCTGAGGGTTTCTCTCTCTCTCTCTCTTTCTCTCCCGCCCTCCCTGTCCTGGCCAGTTTTCTTCCACCCCACCCTCTTGCAGTTCTCTCCCATCAATGTTTCAATCCATCTTCACATGCATGTTCCTGCTCATTCTCTCGTTGTTGAAATCCATTGGCATTGTTGGTAACGCTTGGCTCCCAGTCGTGATCGTTGCTGATGCAGGTCTCGTCGCAGCCGGGCTCAGGCATTAGTGGTGAATGGCACGTGATAAGCCCCATAGTCAGACTCATAAGGTTTGATGATGCAGTTGCCCCGAAAATAAAGCATGCATCTCGTTCTCTCTCTCTCTCTCCTCTCTCTCTTTCTCTTTCTGTCTCTCTCCCTCTTTCTTTCTCATTAGCTGTCTCTCTTTCTCTCTAGCTCTCTCTCTCCTTCTATATATGTATATATACTATCGTGTCCCTCTCTCGATACATGTATATGTATACATCCCATTGCTGTCGCGCCAGCCCTCGCTGCTTCCCCTCGCGCCGACGGGGATGCGGCTAGATACGCAGATTTATACATGTACTTAGCTGGGGTTGAGTCCGAGCGAAGTTCGACTGCTAAGTTCGAGCTAAGTTCTAGCTACGAGTGCGTCTCCAAGTTTGCCAGATCGGCAACATCTGCGTAAGATATCTAGACTTGGAAAATCAATCACACCGCGCGGGAGAAGCTAACTTGGCGGGCTCAGC